TGAGTTGGGGACGGCGGGAGCCCGAGGTGAAATGCCGGCTAACAGACGCACACCGGGGTCGGCGTGACGAAGCCCACAGACCCGCATGCCCCCTGGCCACTCTGAGCGAATCCGTCTCCCTGAGCCCAGAAAGACTGACGTCCTGCTCTGGCTTAGGGGCCGCGTGTCACTGTGGGCAGGTCATGGGACTGCGCTGAGCAGTTAAGCAAAAGGGTGAGGGCAGAGGCTGCCCCGCCTCTCCCAGGGTTACCTTGGGGACCAGGGAGGATGACGGATGCCTGGGAAACACGGTGAAACCAGAAAGCACTCCCCACACCCAAACCTACGTGTGTGTCTCTCTCTCTCTCTCTCTCTCTCTCTCTCTCTCTCTCTCTCTCTCTCTCTCTCTCTCTCTCTCTCTCTCTCTCTCTCTCGTTTACCCTGGAAGCAGCCCACAGGTGCTGCCACGCCCTTCCACACGGAGGTGCCAGCGGGAGGAGGAGGTTGCATGAGTTATACAGATGCTGGCACCCACGTTCCTTAAATTCCTGATGAGTGAAGTCAGAGTAAGCTCCACAGGCGGGGAGGTGTTTCCCCTCTCACTTTCCCCCCCATTAACCAAGTGTGTTAACTCATGCCTGGCATTGATTTTCACTGAGGATGCATTAGGCACTGCTCGATGCCTATTAGTGCTCATTGACCTCTATGATAAGAGAAGAAAATGATTTTTGAGGCAAGGAGGAAGCCGTTCCCATCTCTCCCTCCCTGACCTAAAAATAAAAAATAAAATTTTTTTTTTTTTTTGTAAATTAACTGCCAGTTTTCCTCAGCGACTGCATTTGGAGCAGGTCATTTTAATTTTGAGGTATCTTGCTTTCAGATGTCTGTTCTCTTCTGCGTGCCTGTGTGTGTGTGTGTGTGTGTGTGTGTGTGTAGCTTTGTATTATTCAGATGAATATTCAGTGTTGTTCATTTGAATAACAGAGAGAAAAGGATTGGACTGTTAAATGCTTATCTCTTAAATAGAGCTTACTGTTAGCTTCATTCAGGGCAGTGATGTAGAATTTCGCTTTGAAAAGCTCCCTACCAGCTGGTACCCTGAGCAGTTGGGGTACCAGTTGGCAGGAGTGGGGATGGTCACGGGGACCCCCAGAGGGCCCGGGTGCAGTGTGAGAGCAGGACCACCTGCCCACTGCTCCCTCTGCCCCGCTCCTCCTGCTCCTGTTTGAGGCCCGGAGCGGTGAGGGGAGTCTCCGGGGGCACGTGGCTTACGCATTTCTCCTGCCTGGCGGCTACGCCCCAGCCTCACCGGCTTCCCTACGCCCCATTTCAGAGTCTCTGCGGCTCTCTTGTGGGGAAACAGGAGGGAAATTAGCGAGTCCTCCTCCCTGCCCCTTGTCGGGAAGGCTCCCCAGCATATTGCTCAGAGGACCACGATGCCTTGAGGACATGATGCTGAGTGAAACAGGCCAGCGGCAGGAAGACACTCACTTGAGGTGCCCAGAATAGTCAAATCCATAGAAACAGGCAGCAGAGCAGAGGTTACCGGGGACCAAGGGCAAGAGGAATGGGGAGTTATACTTAATGGGGATGGATTCGGTGTGGGTTGGTGGGAAAGTTCTGGAAATGGGTGGTGGTGATAGCTACACAATAGCATACTAAACTGTACACTTAAAATGGAAAAAAAAAATAGTGAATTTTATTATATATATTTCACCCAATGGAAATTTTTCAAAAAATAAGGCATTGATGCCAAAAAAGGATATTTTTTCCCATCCACCACCCGACCCCTCCCAAATTCTTAACCTCGTTGTTTTGTCCCTCACACCTAGGTTTAATTTATTTGGGAGGGTGTTCATCACTGGGCAACTGTTTGATTGTAAGTGATAAGGCACCTGTGAGGTAAAAAAACAAAACAACGATTATATGTTAAGGAGCAACATTTATTGATCATTGTTTCTGTGCTTTCTCCAAATGAATAAATAAGTAATTTAGACATCATCAAGTTTGCTTTCTCTGTTTGGGCCAAACAGAGACAGGATGTTAACATGATAGAGATCTTTAAAACAGGGAGCCCCGGCATCACCGGATTGGTGTGTGTCCAAAGCACTCTCCTTTCATCAGGAAAGTCAGTTTCGTGATCCTTGAACTTTGAACCTGTGGGCTTAGGGAAGGGACCAGAGGAAGAATATCCAAGTCAGAATTTGAAACGATGCCCGAGTCCTGCCCCCGCCTTTCCGGTGCACAGTCTGCCTTCTAATCCCTAGCTCCTGGCTCCCACCCCTCTTCCTGTCCCCAGGCGCTGGCACTGAGGGGGAAGCTGGGGCAGTAGGGATCCTGAATGGGGTGGGGCCTGGAGTTGGGGCAGTGATTTGTTTGCACAGCGGGCCAGGAAGACATGGGTCGCAGTAAAAAAAAAAAGTTACTTGCATGGCAGTGAATTCAGCTCCTGACCCCTGTGGCGACCTGCCTTACCAAGGGTCAAGGTCATGTGCTTGGCAGCAGATGGCTTTCAACCAGACTGTCCTCCGGCTCGTGGAAGGGCACCTTGGCCTACACAGACTTCATGCTCCTTCCCGATGGCACGATGCTTTTGGTCCATCCATCCGCATCCTCCTGCCTTCTACCCAGATCGAGTAACTGGCTTAAAACAACAAAAATGTATTTTCTCACAGTTCTGGAAACCGGGACTCTGAAGTCAAGGTGTTAGCCGCGCCATACTGCCCCCGAAGGTTCTGGAGGAGAACTCCCTTGCCTCCCCCAACTCCTGGTGGCTCAGGCTTTCTTTGGCTTGTGGCTGCATCACTCCAATCTCTGCTCCACGCTGCATCTCCGGTCTGCTCTCCTTTCTCTTAAAAGAACACCTGTCCATTGGATTTAGGACCCACCTTAATTCTTAACACGTTAAGCACCACGTCAGTCACCAGTGACTGACACTATACTTTCCATCCGGACCGGTCAGTCACTGGTGCCACCAGCATATCGGTGAAATCGAATATCTCAGGCTAAATGGAAAGGAAGACAAAACAGGCTTGGCGCTTAATGTGTTAAGTAAGACCCTTAATTACATTTTTTTAAAAATATATTTTATTGATTTTGTACAGAGAAGGAGGGAGAGAGATAGAGAGCTAGAAACATCGATGAGAGAGAGTCATTGATCAGCTGCCTCTTGCACACCCCCTACTGGGGATATGCCCGAAACCAAGGTACATGCCCTTGACCAGAATGGAACCCGGGTCCCTTCAGTCTCCAAGCAGACTCTCTATCCATTGAGCCAAACCCGTTTCGGCCTTAATTACATTTTCAAAAACGCTTTTTTCCAAATAAGATCACGTTTGTAGGTTCCAGGAGTTAGGACATGGATATGTTGGGGAAGGGGGTGCACTATTCAACCCATCGCACTAGTCCTAACTGACAAACTGATCTGCCCTGGCTTGCATAGGGATTCACAGGTTGCCGGGGTTTGGGTCCAGGCTAGAGGAAAACGAGACCCGGCGTGACCAATCCCCAGGCCAGAAGTGAGGGTGTGAGGAAGGAGGCGGTCTGTGTAGAGAAGGTGCTCTCCATGAGTGGGGACCTCTGACGTGTGCCTTTTCGGGGGCGGGGAACTGTCTTGTTGATCTCGGCCTCCTCCACCCACAAGCTCGTGTTCAGCCAGGTTCACGTCTCCGGAGAGGAGAGTGTCTCCCTCTGTTCGAGCTGCTTTTACAAAGTGCATCAGACAGGGCGGCTTGCGCACCCCAGAAGTGTGATTCTCACGGCTCTGGAGGCTGGCAGGCCACTTGGGGTGCCAGCACAGTCCAGTTTTGGTGAAGGCTTGCTTTCTGGTTACAAACAGCCATCTCCTTGGCGTCTTCTCCCGCGGCAGAGAGCAGAGGGAGGGGAAGCCAGCTCTCCCGAGTCTGTTCTCCGGGCACTCATCCGTTCACCCCGGCCTCAATACCTCCACACCGGGGGTTACGATTTCAGCCTAAGAACTTGCAGGAAGGGGACACAGACATTCAGCCCGTAGCAGAGAGCCCTGCAGATCCTGACTTGGGCTGTGGCTCAAAGCGTAGGACCCAGTGTCCAGTCTCACCACCATAATCCGCAGGTGCAGACTCCAGGCCCAGAGGTGACACATAGGTTGGAAGCCAGAGCCGAGTAAGAACTGGAACCCAGGCCTCCTGCCTCCCCATCAGGGTCCGTCCGCTCTGCCTGTTGGTACTGACACTGCAGCTGCGTTTCATTGAGGTGGGGTGCCATCCTGCAAGCAGGTCCATGTGTTAGAGCAGCGCCTGCCCGCAGGGTCACAGATGGGGCTGCCTGCTGGAGGCCCTGTCGGGGGCAGGAAGAGAAGAAAGCGAGGGGCAGGAGGGTAGCAAGAGGAGCTCGGGATGCTGAGCAGAGGTTGCCTGCCAAAATCCTCCAGTACGGCTGGTCTAGCAAAGGCGGTCTCCAGCCGAGTACATGCAGCGGCTAGCCGACAGGCTGACAGCAGGCATCAAACGGTCTTAAACTGCCCCAAACCTGTAGCGCGTTTGAAGCGGCAGTAGAGAAAGGATGCCTGCGCAGAACAGAGGCCTGAAACTTTTAATAGTTTCTTCCAGGCCTCAGGATGTCCTGATGAGGTATTAGAGGAAGTAATTCAGGAAGAAAAGGACAAATAACCGTCTCCGTCTGGAGGCCGACCAGAGGGCTGGCCACTCCAGCAGAAAGGGCAAGCGTGGCCCCGCGGTGAGCCCGCCGCCATGGGCTGCCCACCCACCACCTTGCAACTAAGAGACAGGAAAATGTCCTGTTTGCTCGGGGACAAATGGAAGCCACCCAGCGCTCGCCGCACGTGGGTGAAATCATTAACCTTTCCTCACTGTCGCGAGGGCACCAATTAGAAATCGCGTCCTCAACCAGGGATCTGCACGCCCGGCTCCCAGCCCGGGAGCCTGTGGCCACTGCGGGACAGACAAGAGGAAACGCGGTGGGCGGCCAGAACTGAACTCACCCTCCCTCTTTTTTTGTCTCTGTCTCCCCTTTTCCTTTAGGGTTTGGCTTTGTCACTTTTGAGAATGAAGACGTTGTGGAGAAGGTCTGTGAGATTCACTTCCATGAAATCAATAATAAAATGGTAAGTTTACAGGGGTCACGCTGAAAGGCAATGCCTCCCTCCCCCCATCTACACACCGTGTCACGCAGACCGCCCCAGCGGGGTCACCATGCTGCAGGGTGGGCAGGGTGGGCAAGGAGGCTGGACTCCAGGGGGTCAGCCCTGCCAACAGCAGGAGTTCGGGGCCATATAGCTTTGCAGGCCACACAGCGGGCTGTCACAGCTATTGTGATGTTGTAGCATGAAGGCATCCATGAACGAGCAGGACACGGACGATGAAATCTCATGTCATTGTCACGTGCCACAAATATTTGTTTTTACCATTTAAAAATGTAAAACCTGTCCTTAACGCAGCTGTACAAAAGCTGGCAGAGGGCAGATGTGGTCGGCAGGTTGTAGTTCACCAGACCCCAGGCTTAGGGCCTGTGTTTGCTGTTTAGGTTGGCAATTAGAGGGGTTGGGGCGGGGGAGTGCAGGATATCCTAGGTTAGTGGTCAGCAAACCGCGGTTTGTGAGCCACATGCGGCTCTTTGGTCCCTTGAGTGTGGCTCTTCCACGGCTTGGGCGAGTCTATTTTGAAGAAGTGGCATTAGAAAAAGTTTAAGTTTTAAAAAATGTGGCTCTCAAAAGAAAGTTGATATTTGTACTGTTGATATTTGGCTCTGTTGACTAGTGAGTTTACCGACCACTGTCCTAGATATGTTGGTTACCACCATTATGTCTCTGCTGGATAATTAACATTTTTCTCCCTCTGATCAATTAATTTCATTGTCATGATCAGCTGCTTTTGCCCCTCCCTTTTGCTCTCTGAAGCTCCTTTTCCTAGGGGTGGCTCCTCAAGGAGAGGAAGGTTGAATCATTGGAAGTTTGGGGAACCGGGTAGGCCTCCCAGAGACATGGCCACCAGAGGGCGCCGCACCATGTGCAGAATGGGCACACTGGCGGCTTTCCTTCTTAAACTCCTGTCTTCCGGTTTGAGTAGGTGGGTGATAAAGCCCTTGGTTGTTGGTTGCAGAGCAATGGGAGCTCAGCAGGTCCCTCGGAGCCAAAACATTCTGGTTGGCCAGCAGGGCCTCGGGTCCAAGAGAAGGAGGGCAAATTTATGTCTCAATCGCAGCCATCACTTCAGTATTATTTTTCTTCTTTCCTTTAGTCAGAACATTCGTTGCTTCGGAAACATGCATTGTTTGAAGCCCAAACTATTCATTGTATATGGTCTGATATGTGTTCCCTGACTTTAAATTCAATAATGGAGCTTTTAGAGTGGATAAGATCAAAGCAATCTGCTTAGCATGTGGTGCTACAGGCCTGATTCAATATTTGACTTGCTAATTTTTTCCCAGGGCACTACAATAATATTGTTGGTATTGTTCCTAGCCATCGTATGCATCTGAAATGAAAATACCGTTTCTCTGCATGCTATAGATTAGAGGTGTCAGCTCGGGTGTTAAAATGGTAAAGGGGAGATAAGTGTGTGGGGCCAACAGGTGCCCTCCCTGGCTTTCCTGCCCTCGGAAGCCAGTGCCTTTAGCCGTTCCCTCTCTTTCCATAGGCTCCTACTTGCAATTCTTAAAACTAGAGAGACGAGGGCTTAAAGGGAAACGTGCCTGCTGGCCCAGGTACATGTTTGCCCCAGCCGGGTGTGGGTGACGGACTAGGAGGCACGGCCGAGAGCGCTGGCAGGCACATTCCCACCTGCCAGGACTGACCGCTTCACCAGGAAGGCACAGGTCAGCTGGCCAGGGACCACACCGAGCGCTGCCTCCAACGCATAGGTGTGGCCTTCACCACTGCTGGCTCTGAGGGGACCTGAGGCGCATGGGGAAGGGCTTTATGCTTTCCACTGTTCCAGTGGGGAAACTCGGCCCAGGGGATACGCCTCAGGGCTGTGCGGGCAGTGAAGGAACGTGGGTCTTGAGCTTATTGGCTCTCGGATGACCCCAGACAGACAGTTGTTTGAGCTTCGGGTGGGAGGGTGAACCCCCAGATGATTAGGGGGCGATCAGAAAGTAGAGTTTCAGCTCCAGCAAGGTAACCTCTAGGCGAGGTGCCCCTGGGCGATCAGAAGGTGGAGTTTCAGCCCCAGCAAGGTAAAGCCAGAGAGGTTTGTAGCCATTGCCCCCAGTCGTTTCACAGGTGTCACTTCTTTCCACCCAGGTCGAGGCTGACCATGGCAGGTGCAGATAGCTGTTTATAGCGCCAGAGCAGTGGTCAGCAAACTCACTAGTAACAGAGCCAAATATCAGCAGGACGACTATTGACATTTCTTTGGAGAGCCAAATTTTTAAAACTTAGGCTTCTTCTAGTTGGTCCGAAGGTTGTGGGTTATTGTTAAGCTGATTAAAACTTAGGCTTCTTCTAATGCCACTTCTTCAAAATAAACTCGCCCAGGGTGTAGTATTTTGTGGAAGAGCCGCACTCAAGGGTCCAAAGAGCCGCATGTGGCTCGAGAGCCGCAGTTTGCCGGCCACGGCGCTAGGGTTTCTGTCCTTTTGAATCCGGGCTGCTACCTGCTATTTAAGACAATAAGCGGAAGTGGAAGGAAATGAGAGGAAAGCGTGGGGTGCAGTGGGTGGGGTCACAGACAGGCTTTGAAGGTGTCCCTGCAGGCGCCCGCCCCGCCCTTTCCGGCTCTCAGGGAGTTAAGCCGTGGGCGAGGGCGTTGGTGGAGAGGAGCTGAGTCCTGAATCGTTGTGGATTCTGTGATACTGGTTTGTGCTTCCGAGGCCTAAGGAAGAGGAGATGAATTTAAACGGTGCGACGGACAGAATTCAAATAAGAGATGGAAAGACTCGGAGACCTCAGAGACTGCCAAGCAGAAACCCTGGCGGTCAGACCGTCCGGGGCGTGTTCTGTAAACCGGGCTGTGCTGGGGGTCCTGGGCCCTGGGGCCCTCTGCCAGGCACAGAAACGAAGGGCTTGCTGCTGGTCAGGCACAGTCAGGACCTGCCTCCAGGCCTGCGGTGAACCAGAGCTCCCGTACCCTGGCCCTCGGGGTCCTGTACGGATAATTATAGAAGAAATAAGCTTAGAGGGGACCATGTGACCGTGAGGCCCATCATCATTTTCAGAGCCATTTCCTATCTAATCTGGTTGGCGAGTCTCCTGGGCATTTTAAAAAATGAGGGCCCTTCTCCTCCATCCTGGAGAGCCAGCAGCAGGCGGGAGTGCTTGTCAGGAAGCTGGGAGCACAGAGCTCTGTCTCCCGCCCCATAGAGGCCCTGGCTGAAGGAGGACACCACCAGGGTGGTGGCAGGGGGTGGCCAAGAAGACCCCACATGGCCCCTCCCACACAGGCCCCGTGAATAGCTGACATTTTCGATGCCAAACTACACGCCCTGCCGAGTGCTTGCTCTCTGTGCCTCTTCTTATTGGCTTATCACACCCACTCTGGTGCAGGTGCTCATTACCTCCCCATCTTACTGGTGGGCAAGGTGGGGTAGAGAGAGAAGTTTGGCAACTTGCCCAGGGCCACAGCGTCCATCATTGGCAGCACCAGATTTCAAGCCCCAAGAGCTAAGCCCAGAGCTCACATCTGTACCCAATAGGCTCTCTGCCTCCAGGCTGACGGTGACGTCAAAGGTCACCCAGGGGGTGTACACCTCCCAAAGCCACTGGCTGCCCAGTCAGCCACGTTGCTGCCCATGCGGCTCCATGTTTTCCTAAGAAAAGGCAAAGAGATGGGCTCACTGGGCCCAATTCCCCTCTGGGGAGAAGAGCTAAGCTTTGGGGAGAAGCAATCCCTGTCAGCCACGATGGATCTCCAGGCAGGTGAGGGAGGGGCCTGCCGAGCAGCTGGCCACCACCCCAGCTCAGGGCCAACCCCCAAGTGATGATGGCCCCCTTACTCAGCCCCTCCCTCTGTCTTGGCACAGGTCAGAGTGAAGCACAAACATGGCCCCTTCTCAGTACACACACACACGCGCGCGCGCGCACACACACGCACGCACGCACATGCTTGCACATGCACAGCCACGTGGTGACCCTCGGGGAGGAACACCTCAGACCACTCTGCAAGCCCGGGCGTGGGAGCAGCTAATAAGGCCTCCCGCCGCGGCCCTGATTGAAGCTGCCTCCGAGCAGCAGGGACACTGGCTTGATTAGTGCCAGCGCAGCCTCCCAGGCCTCCTGGCGAGCAGCAGGCCAGCCAGCGTGAGGCGGCAGCGCAGGGCGGGGGGCGGGGTCCGCACAGACCCGCTCCGGGCTTCCCCAGAGGCCTGGCTCAGACCCGGCCTCAGTGGAGTCCGGGAGGCAACACCAGCCTCACTGGTGAGAACTTGGGGTCAGTTGGAAAGGTGCCCGGGCACCTGGAGTGCCTGTTCCCGCACCTGACTCAGCTGGCGGCATTGGTATTTCCCGGGCACTGTGATGGAGCTTTATACTGTGCACACGCGTCTCCTTTCGTGCTGAGGTAGGGGGGTCATTGCCCCGTCTTTTAGGTGGGACTCCAGTCCAGAGCGGTGGAGGGACTTCCATAGCCCACGGTTCTTGGTGGCAGAACTGGGATTTGAACCTGTGTCTTTCTGGCTCCAACCCTGTGCTCACACTGCACCCTTCTGCCGACATAGGCAAACCTGAGAACTGAAAAATCAGGATTGGTTTGACTGGTGGAGGCAAAGCTTTGCTTTTACACCGTTTACCATAGGGTGCTTTTAAATGGTCCTGCTGCTTATTCCTTTAAGGTGATCTGATTTATGAAAATGGCTAAGCAGTTTGCAAGCTGGTTAGAAACACAGTCTCACACTCCTTCCCCACCCTCTACCCCCAGCCTACTGAATTAAAACCTGTGTGTTGACATACTCAGTGATCTGTGCACACATTTAAGTCTCAGAAGCATGGGACCAAGACCACGGCTCGCAAGAGATAGAATAGTAATTTGGGTCACAATGGTCACCCAGAGTCAGGAAGGGGTCCGGGATGAAGGAAGTGAAGCCCTGGGAGCAGGGAGCCAATGGCCCGCCTGTCACGTGAAGGCCAGCACCACCCACCATCCCCTGCGACAGGTCTTGTCTCCAGGAGGA